AAAATGTTTTCCCTGTACAACAGGCTTCTTCAGACACTTACAAGCAAATATAATACTGGAGATGGTAAAAGTCATTTTGACTTGATCAATCTGTTGCCCTTGATAGGTGGTGATCAGTTCCTCAAGCCTAAAACACAGGCATATGGGCAGATTAGAGCAGATGTGAAGAGAAGTAGCTGGAGTTGACATCAAAATCCAGACTTGTTCTGCATACTCTCTCTCTTTACAATACTTGTCATACCTTCTACCTTTGGTATACCACTGATGAGTTCCAAGAGTTTTTCTACTCCCAGAGCCTGGCCTTGAGCCAGGCTGTTGCTGCTGGTGGCCCACTGACCCACATATCCACCACAGCCTGGTTGATCTGGCACCTGGTGAAGATACTTGTCCAGTTTCCTCTTGTCAGCACCATTTCCCAGTCAACCTCTCGAAGTGCTGTCTTTTCTTTTTTTTTTCTCTCTCTCTTTTAAGCATTTTAGAATTAAATTTTAGATGAAATTATTTGTACCAAGAACTTCATATTATTGTACACAGTTCTCAATTCCTTGTCCGTTATCAATTCTCTTGATAAGTGGCACTGGACTACATCTAAGCTATATGAATATATCCACATATCCAGAAAAAATATTGTAACCAGTTTTGTGATCTTGGTGCTTGGATTTAACTGGGCACTGAAGAACTTCAGGATTGCTCTTGACAGGAAATGTTTACCTGGAGAGGGTTTCGGGGATCAACGCTCCCGCAGCCTCATATGGGACCAGGCTTCATGCTGGATCAGGGCCTGATAAACCAGATTGTTGCTGTAGGCCGCATGCAACCCAACGTACAAACCACAGCCCATCTGGTCACATACTGGCTTTAGGTGCCTGTCCAGCACCTTCTTGAAGACAGCCAGGGGTCTATTGGTAATCCCCCTTATGTATGCTGAAAGGTAGTTGAACAGTCTTAGGCCTCTGACACGTATTGTGTTGTCTCTTATCATGCTAGCAGCACCCCTGCTTTTTATTGCGGGGATGTTGTATCGTCTGCCAAGTCTTTTGCTTTTGTAGGGACTGATTTTCGTGTGCAAGTTTGGTACTAATCCCTCTAGGATTTTCCAAGTGTATATAATCATGTATCTCTCACACCTGCATTCTAAGGAGTACAGGTTGAGGAACTACAAGCGTTGCAAGTAATTTAGGTGTTTTATCACAGTTATGTGTGCCGTGAAGGTTCTCTGTACATTTTCTAGGTCAGCAATTTCACCTGCCCTGAAAGGTGCTCTTAGTGTGCAGCAATATTCCAGCCTAGATAGAACAAACGACCTGAAGAGTGTCATCATGGGTCTGGCATCCCTAGTTTTGAAGGTTCTCATTATTCATCCTGTCATTTTTCTAGCTAATGCAATTGATATGTACATTGTTATGGTCTTTGAAGGTGAGATCCTCTGATATGATCACTCTCAGGTCTGTTACATTAGTTTTTCATTGTATGGTTGGAATCTGTTTTATACTACAATATAATTTTAATTTCCTCACATTTTCCATATCGGAGTAATTGAAACTTCTCCCCATTGAATTTCATATTGTTTTCTGCAGCCCATTTTAAGATTTGGTTGATGTCTGCTTGGAGCCTTGCAGTGTCTGCAATGGAAGACACTGTCATGCAGATTCGGGTGTCATCTGCAAAGGAAGACACGGTGCTGTGACTGACATCCTTGTCTATGTCAGATATGAGGATGAGAAACAAGATGGGAGCGAGTACTGTGCCTTGTAGAACAGAGCTTTTCACTGTAGCTGCTTCAGACTTTACTCTGTTGACTACTACTCTTTGTGTTCTGCTTGTGAGGAAATTATAGATCCATCTACCCATCTACCAACTTTTCCTGTTATTCCTTTAGCACGCATTTTGTGCGCTATTACGAAATGGTAACACTTGTCGAAGGCTTTTGCGAAGTCTGTATATATTACATCTGCATTCTTTTTGTCTTCTAATGCATCTAGGACCTTGTCATAGTGATCCAGTAGTTGGGACAGACAGGAGCGACCTGCTCTAAACCCATATTGCCCTGGGTTATGTAATTGATGGGTATCTAGATGAGTGGCGATCTTGCTTCTTAGGACCCTTTCAAAGATTTTTATATGGGATGTTAGTGCTTTGGTCTGTATTTTCTTTGTTTTTTGTTTTAAAACGGGGGCTCCCTTTTGGGGATTTTTTTGGGGCTATGTTTTCTTGTTTTTAGAAATTTTCTTGGGATGCCCCCCATTCCATGCTCCCCTCCATAGGATGGAAAAAAGACATGATAGGGGTTTTTCTTGCATTTCTTGAATGAACAGGATTTAAGGGTTCGGGGCCCGGGGGCAGAGTGGAGGGGGCAGGGTCTTTTATTCCCTTTAAAAGTCTTTTGGGGCATCAGGATAATATCGATAGGTTTGGGAAAAACCGGGGAAAAAAAGACAATGTGTAAAAATCCTACCTTTTTTTTACCTGAAACCCATTTCTGGGGGTTTCCCTTTCCCTCGAAGTCGGGCCCTTTAAAAAAAAAATTAGAAGTTTTACTTTACTAGCAGACAAAATTTTAAGCCCCTTTTTTCAATTGGCCCAAGGGGATTGTATTTCCTGGATTCAAATTGGGGTAAAAATGAATGAAAAAATGTTTTTTTATCAAGCAACACCCTACATTATCAGAATTTCCCTTTATGAGGGCCTTCATTGAAGAACATACTTATAAACTTTCTGATCTTATGCTAAAACCAAAGTTTCTGTCCAAAACCTTTGGGCATGATATAAAACAATTTTTAAAATTTGCCCACAAAAAAAAAACTTGTTTAAAATTGGGAAAAGTCATAAAATTTAAATTCCCTTGATTTTTTCTAATTAAATATGAAAAATGCACACAAAACTTTTTTTTGGGTAAAATTGTTTTTTTAAAATCCCAAAAAATCAAAACAATCCCCGTGGGAAGAATTAAAATGCCTTCAGAAAATGGTTTTAAACCCAAATTTGTGCGGGAAACCCAAATTTCTTAGGGATAAAGAAAAAAAAAGGAAACAATACTGGGATTAAAACAATACTAAAAAAACCGCATAGGGGAGAATGAAACTTATGGGCTACCACAACAATTTTCATTTAAAAATTTTTAAAAAAGTCAAGCCCCGCTTATAGGTTTTTATTTTTGTTTGGTAAGGTTGTTTAGGGAAAAAGGACAAGTGAATTTTAAGGGATACAGGCCAACAAATTCAGTTAATTTTTTTTTCCTGGATGCGCCCAAACTAGCGAAATAACCCCCCAGGGACACACTTTACTGATGGGGGAACATGGGTAACCGGGGTTTAAAAAACACGCCCCATTTTTCTTTTCCCTTTCCGGGAATTGAACCCCCCCACCCCCCATCGTGTGAAGCTCTCGCTTCAAAACGAACCCGAAAGAGGGTAAACAATTTTTAAACCAAATGGGCTTATTTCTGGGGCTGTTGTTTCCCTAATAGTTTTCACTTAGTCAAAAGTTTTTTTTTTTTCCTCACCAACTTTCAAGACCATGCACTTGTTGGAGGGTTTAATTCGAGAGCTATTGCCCCTACCAAGCTTGCAACCTCTAATTAAACTATAAATTTTTCCCAAACGAACACTTCAAGAGGTTTACATATTTTAAAAAAAAAAAGTTTCAAAGGATTAATCCCCCTTGGAATCCCATCTCACTTTTTCCCCCCTTTTAAAACTGGCAATCTTGTTTTTTTCCCCAGGGTTTAGTACAGCATTTAATGTGTAGTGATACTGGTCCCTTTTGGGGAGCACCCAGCAGGAAAAACTGAAACCACCTTGGGGGCCCCTTTTAACAACAAAAAAATTTGGTGTGCGTCGGGGCACCAAAAACATGGTGTGGTTTTCTCTCCTACTTTATCCATTTATCCAGCGATGCGGGAATTACAGGGTGATTTTAAAATTTTTGGGGCCCTGTAGTTAAAATTTTTCCCTCTTGAAAAAGCAAGAAAAATCCCAACCCTAGAAGCCATTATTAGATGTACTATCATTATTTTTATGTTGGGGGCAAAATTTACTAGGGAAATCAAATTTTTCAAAAAAAGGGCCTGGGAGAAAGGCCTGTTTTTTCTATCACAACAATTTATTGAAATAAACCTGGGCAACCGGTGGTGATCCGGGCGCTAGAACATCACAACTTTGGACTTTACTAAAACCGGAGAGGTGGGACTGTGACCCCAGCTTATAAACGGTTTGTTTCAGGAAGGGAAAAAAAAAGGGCACGGGTTTAAAGGGACTTTGGGAAAACTTCTTGGGAGCCCTTCCAAAAAAGATCTAGTTTAAAAAAGGGTTGTCTTTCAATTTTGTGTCCCCTTTAAGATATTTGAGGCTATTTTTGAGTGTAAAAACCTACGAAGATGCAAATAAAAAACCCTCAAGTCCATTTTTTAAAAAATACAAATGAAATCTTTGCACGCTATCGCCTTCCCAACTCCCCGCCAGCGGGATTGATGCCCTTTAAGAGGAAAACTTTCAAGCACTAAAAAATTTTAAAGGTAAGGACGGGCATTTCCCCAAGCAGAGGACAGCTGCCCCAGTTTTGGAAGAGCCCCTCGGGATGCTTTTTTTCAGTGGCCGCAATCCCCAAATAAAAAGGGCAGCGTTTTTGGAGAAAAAACTCTAAACTTACCCGCTCCCCTTTGGGGACCGGGCAAGAGCTCTAAAATTCACCCCAGAAAAATTTTCTAAAGGGTAAAAAGTACCACTCAGCCTTCCCCCGAGTGGTAAGTGCTGAAATTTTCCTCCCAAGACTCTTGAAATGAATTTAACGGGGGAAACCCTCCCTTTTTCCCCCCAAAGGGGGGGAACACACAGCAGGAAAGGTTTTTTTTTTTTGGGGTTTTTCAAGACATCCATCCAAAGGGTCCTGCTCGTGAAGAAATGTGCCCAAAAAATGCCACAAGAAAGGTCATTTTTCCCTAAAGTATGCCCGTGCTAATGCATCAACAAGAGCTAGTGCCTCCACACTTTTCCAGTGACATGCGACCTAGAAACAGTGACTTTTTGGGGCCCTACCCAAAATTTCACTGCCCAAAGGGCCTTTGTGAAAGAAATTCTAAAAGGAACAAAAGTAAGGGTCTTTTTGAATTTTGGGGGCAGCTCAGAGATTTTTCATAAACCCTTGACTTTTTTTAAAGGGTTTCTCCTTGACCTCCCTCACTCTTTCCAGGTACCTTTTTCCATGGCATAAAACATCTCTCTTTTTCAGCCCTTGGGGTTTTGAAAGGGTAAATTCGGGATTTAATTGGAAAGGATTATCAAATGTACTTTTTAGCTTTTCTGCCCAACTGTCCCTTGTGTTATCCGGGGGGGGTTTTCCCAAGGACTTTCAGAAGTCATGGTAGTGTCCCCTTTTAACTATGGGGGGAACTGCCTCCTCTTTTTTGTCTGTGGACTTAGAAATTTAAAGGGGTTGCCCCAAACCAAAGCTTTTTCCCAAAATCTTCCCGCGGTTTCCCCATCCATATCAGCAAAGTCACGCCGCTATTTTTTTATTCGGAGGGTCATTGAGAAAGAAACTCAGAGCTGCGAAGGGGGGTATTATAAAACCAGTGATTCCCCTTGGGTGCACAGGTTGTTGTTTTTTAAAGAGGGTTATGGGAAAAGGTCGGCTATCGATTACTCTGAGACAATAAACAAATTTACACTTCTTGAGGGGTTCCCCTTACCTCGAATTGAGGGATCCCAGTGAACAAAATTGCTAAAGTACTACTGTTTAGCAAAATTTGGATCGGGCCAGAGTGCCTATCATCAAGCCCTTTTAAAGGGAAAGAAAATAAACCTTTACACAGCGTTTCGGGCTATTTGATGGCCTGTACCAGTTTACCAAAATCCCTTTTGGAGTCCCCAAAATGGGGGTAGCCCATCCAACAATTTATGGATTCACTCTTTCGGAAGGGGAAACTCAGGGGAAAACCAAACCGTATTTAGATAATGTTACCTTTTTGTGGCAACCCCCAGGGGGAAAACATGATGAAAACCCTTGATTTTTTTTTGGGGAAACCCCCCAAGAAAAAAAATTTACGGGTTTACAATGAGGAAAAAGGGGCACTTTTTAAAACAAAAAGGGCTTAGCATTCCTTTGGGTTTTATGTAGTGGAAGGAGGTTCAATATTCCCAGCCCCTGAACGCCCTTCGCCTCTAGGGGAATTTCCCCCAATCCCTAAAAGAAAAAAAGCCCACTCCAAAGGGAACTCTTGGTCTCTTTGTTTATTCCTCAAAATGGATCTCCCAACTATTCAAGTAAAGTCCCCCCCATTGAGTGCTCCCCACTTTTCCCTGTGACAAAGGAAGCAGAAGCCGTTTTCCATACTCTCAAACGGGGACATTGAAAACTCAGTATTTTAAGCCATTGATGAGTCCCTACCATTGGGAAGGGGAAAAACGGATCCCATCTGCCCATTCCCTTTGCTGCATTCTTATTCGGGCAGGCACCAAAACCCTTTTTTTGGGAAAAACTTTTCAAGGATCAAAAAAATGTTATCCCGCTGTAGAAAAGGAAGCCCGGGCCATCATAGAAGAAATCGCCCCTGGGGGCTTTAAATTTAACTGGTAGACTTTTCACCAAAAGGGCTGACCAAGGGTTCCGTGATGTATATTTTCGACAAGAGGCAAAAAAGTAGGATAAAAAAAGACAAGAATTACGTGGGGGAGGGAACAAAGTGTTTTGACTTTGATATTCTGTACCGCCCGGGTCAAGAAGGAAACATCTAAACCTGATGTATTCCTAGCCCCAATTTGGGGGAAGCCATGCCATGATTTGCAATCACTCTCAGCTCTCCACAAGGCTTTGTGTCCCCGGGATTTTACACGCCTGTACCATTTTTTTCTTTTTCAAAAAACCCATCCCCTACTCAGTGGAAGATTTTGGGGCCAATTTATAAAAAATTTCAGAGTAGGGCGGGATTGAAAGCCAAATTTTTCATCACCCGGGAAAAGGGGCTATCCAAAAAAACCACCCAGCCTTTCGAAAGTTTTGGAATATAGTTTTTCAAAGGCCCTCTACCAAGCAAAAAACAAAATGGGGTATTTCCTTAACTAGTAGATGAATTTTTAAAGGGTTTTCCCCTTTGTTTTCCCCCCTGTGCAAATATGGCTGCTTTAAAAACTGTTATTAGTTGTCTTTCACGTTGTTTTTTCTATTTTTGGTATGCCGTTTTAACCTTTCAACGGGGATCCTCTTTCATGAGTAACAAATTTTCGGATTTTTGGTAGAAAAGGGTTTTGGGCCTGCAGCAGAACACAAGCTACAACCCTCAAGGCAAGGGTTAAAGTGGAGCGGTTCAATTTTTACTATATGGAAGGCATTTTCAATAAACATTAAAGTCGCGCTTTCTACCTGTTCAACAGGGCCAAAACTGCCCTACCTGATGTTTCTTATTATTAGATCACTGTTTGTGCAAGCTACTAATGAAACCCCCTTTCATAAAAAGACTCCAACATTCACGTTTTCCCCCTCTAGGGGGAGCCTCCGTCCCACTTGGTTATGTCATCCGGACCCTTTTCCCCGAAGAGACCGTGGGAAATGAACAGACGGACCCTTTTTAGTGGAAGAGGTAGAGCCCTGCAAGCTAACCCACATTAGGGCCCACTTTCCCTTTTTTTTTTTTTTACAAAAAAATGGTAAAAGACTACAGTTTTAACAAACATTTACCCCCCGGTTAAATCCCTTTTTAGTGTGGAATCTCAAGATACACCAATAATGTGAAAGATGTTCGTTTTCTCCAAAACCCCCTTGAGACTACCCCTATGGAAATAGAGGATTCTGCCCCAGCAGTTAACAAACCCCGCTGGAAAATATCAAACCCTTTGGTGAAGGGGCTCAAGGGTTTACAAAAGGCGGGACGTGTACCGCCCCCTAACATTTGGGAGATTACTGCCCTCTGATATTTTGAAGGGGGAAAATTGAAAGTGATACTGGTCCGGGGGGGGAAAGCAGCGAGGATAATACTGCCCCCACCTCTGGGGGCCCCTTAACAAAAACAAAAAAGTTTGGGGTGTTCAGGGGGCACCAACACAGGTTTTTGTGATTTTTCTCCTATTTTATCCATTTATCAGCGAGGGAAAATTTACATGGTGATTTTTTTAAATATGTGGCCTGTAGTTAAAACTTTTCTCTTGACATTTTCAAGAATCACCACCCCTGTAAAGCCTTTATTAATGTACTAGTCATTATATTTTTTTGTTTGCAGAAGTACTATGAAAAAACTATTTCAAAAAGCCTAGAGATAAGGCCTGTGTTTCTATACAAATAATTTCTAATGTGTGATCACCCAGACAGAGTACGACCCCTTTCCCAATTGCGTTTGTAAATGAACTGCTTAGTATAAAAAAATGATTTTTCAGATACTCTTTTAACAAAAGGGAAAATTGCTTCTTTTAACCTTTCCTACATGTCGGGCCCCTGAAACACACATT